GGTGGGGGGTCTGTACTTCCAGCCTGGGGGCCGGTGGAGCGGGAGGCGCGCTGTTGGGGTTGGGGAGCAAGGGATAGAGGCTGCTGCTGCTGCCCGAGATCCTGAGACGCTTAACGGGAAGACGCGGGGGGGCAGCCGCGGGCCCCGACGGAGTCCTGCGCGCCCCTCCTGCGGGGCTTGAAGACGTGGAAGCGGCCATTAAATAAATGATGTTTTGGGTTTTGTTTTAAATATATCTTTATTGATCTCAGAGAGAGGAAGGGAGAGGGAGAGAGAGAAACATCAATGATGAGTCATTGGTCGGCTGCCTCCCGCTCGCCCCCTGCTGGGGATCGAGGGGCCTGCACGCCAGGCCTGTGCCCTGACCGGGAATCCAACCGAGACCTCCTGGTTCATAGACCGATGCTCAACTGCTGAGCCACCCTGGCCGGGCTAAATCATGTTTTAATTTTTGGGTTTGAGAGACTGAGAAGGGGGGGGAGAGGGGAACCTCGACCCCTCGTTCCACCCATCTCGGCATCTTCTCAAAGTCCTTCGCTTCCTTCCTCATCAGCCCTCCAGAGTTTCACAGCCGTCCCCCGGGGCCACCTTCTGGGATGTCGTCCCCCAGTGCAAGTCGGGCCCAGAAGATGAGGCTGCCCTTGTTTACGCAAAAGGGGCAGCTGGAGGTGCCGTCCCCGACCGAGAAGGACTGGCTGAAAGATGACGACGAGGGTTATGTCTTCAAGGACCCAGACCAGGAGCTGGATTCTCTGCCTCAGCCCTATCGAATGATCAACAAGCTGGTGAACTCCCTGTTTGACCGGTCGTGGGAAGTTATCGAGGACAGGGACAGGCTGAGGGAAGCGGAGCTCAGCCGGATCAAGCCCACCGTCTACCTTCCAGTTTTTGAAAACAAGGTATGGAGCCGCTGACCGGGGATCCCTGTTTCTCCCGAGTGTTAATAAAATGGAAAACACCCGATCCCGGGGAGGATTTCCTAACCGGGAACCTTCATTCAATGAGACGGCTGCATTTTTTGGAAGATTCTAGGCATGCCGATGCTGATGGAAATGCATCCCTAGTCACTGTCTGGAGAAATGGGTGCTCTGGCTAATCAAGGATTACACAGGTCTTTTATATTCAGCCTCTGTTGGTTTAAAATCTTTCTGAATGTAGTAATCGCCCTGTTGCCTCAGTGATAGCTCTTTCCGCAGCCATTAGAGATGAATGAAGAACAAGGAATGGGGCCGCTTGTCCACGCCTCACAGCGCCCAGGCCCACGCTCAGTATAGTGCCTATGCATTTACCTCCACTTCTTCGTTTTCTCTGGCCCCTTTCCCCTAAAAGCAAAGTGCTATGACCTCCTGACACGTGGGCGGATACGTAGAGGAGCCCTGTCCTTGGGGATGGTATCATGTCTAGGAAGGGCCCACTTCCCTCTTTGAAATGTTAATGTTGTATTACTTGCAGATGGTGACAGCTGTTAAATCATTCCTTTCTTCTCTGCTCGGTTTCCCAGCTCAGCAAAATGCCAAAATGTATGGCTATTTCTCAAGACTATGCGTTTATTGCAGAAGACAAAGGATTCGCCATCTATAACCTGTACAGTGCGCAACAAATATATGAATGCGAGAAACTTAAGGTCGATGTCGTGTCCATCTGGGCCACAGATTTGGGGAGCGAGACTCTTATTGCTCCTTTGGATGAAATGGGTACTTGTCCTTCATCTTCGTTTTAGCCTGATTTACGCCTACCTGTAGAGTGCCCTTCTATTTCATTTCCTTCCCAGGTCTGGATGGGGCCAGGCACTGGCATGTTCTCCCTGGTCAGGTCACGTAGTAGCGACACACACCTGCAGAACAGCGAAATGTGCCAGGCACTCTCCCAACATTTCACATACGTAGCCCATTTAACCCTTACGACAGCCCTGGGAGGTTAAGTAAGATTTTCAGAAGAGGCAACCGAGGCATGGAGGTTAAGTAATGTACTTGAGGTAATATGGGACATAAAGGGCGCAGGCAGGATTCAAACCAGGGGGTGTGACCCCAGAGTCCACTGCCTGTGGGCACTGGGCAATCCTGCCGCCCACATAAACCAGGGCTTGCTTTCCCCCCTCGGCCTGAGGACGAGCCAGGCCCTCACGGGCAGTGGGGGCCCGGGAGGAGGCCCGAAAATGCAGGAGTGACCACGCCAACCTCAGGAAGTCTGAGGGAAAGTCCCAGGTCTCCTCTGGCTCACCTGTCTGCCTTACATTCCTCCTGATTTTCCCGTTCCAGGTATCATTAGGCTGTTTTATCTTTGTAAGGATGGTCTTTTCTTCATCAAAACCATCAATGAAGTGGTAAGTGCCTAGAGCTGGGCCACGCGCTGTAGCCGATCAAGTTTACTTTTAAGAGGGAGGCGGTGACAGCTGTCCCAGAACAGCAAGACGCAGACACCCCCCTGGTCAGACAGACTTCTCCAAAACAGACCATCAAAAATCCCCAACCATCAGAGGGTAATGCTAAATAAAAACATATATATGTGTATATCAGAGTATATAAAGAACTCCAAATCAATAACGAAAAGACAACTCAATAAAAAATAGGCAATAGGCAAAAGACTTGAACTGACACTTTACAAAAGAAGATATCAAGTAACCAACCCTTTTAAAGTGCATAATACTGACCGGCTCACGTGGCTCAGCGGTTGAGCACTGACCTATGAACCAGGAGGTCTCCGCTCGATTCCCGATCAGGGCACATGCCCGTGTTGCAGGCTCCTCGATCCCCAGCAGGGGGCGTGCAGGAGGCAGCCGATCCATGACTCATCATTGATGTTTCTCTCCCTCTCCTTCCCTCTCAATGAATAAAAACATTTAAAAAAATAATAAAAGTTCCTAATAAGATTAGTTAACAGAAAAATGCAAAATTAAATCACGAGATACCACTGCACTCCTGCTGCAATGCTCACAGTGGGAAAGACAGGGCATGCCGACAGCTGATGGAGACGTGTCGCTGGTCAGAGTGTGAGGTGGCCCACCTGCTTTGAAAAGCCCGTAGTTTCTGATAAAGTTGAACCGATGGCTCATCAACTGCATTCCTAGGCATTTACCCAAGAGAAATAAAAACACGTGTCCACAAAGAGGCATCTTTTCATGCCCCAAGCTCTGAAAGGGTTTATGTAAAACCGGGGTGAGAGCCACGCCAGCCCTGACATGCACCCCCCTCTCCTTTCCAGGAGGACGCCAGCAAGCAGACACCCTGTGTGAAGATGGAGATCTCTCACGGAGGGGACTTTGCAGCCTTCCTCCTACAAGGCAAGATTAACCGGGGGCTGTTAAAAAAAGCCCAGATTTGCAGTGTCTGCTAGATAATCACTTTTTTCCCCAAGCCTCTTATTTATTTTTAAATGTTTTTGTGGGTTTTTAAAGTTGACTTCAGAGAGAGAGAGAGAGGGAAACATCAGTGATGAGTCATTGATCGGCTGCCTCCTGCTCGCCCCCTACTGGGGAGCCAGAAGCCTGCAACCCGGGCACGTGCCCTGACCAGGAATTGAACCTCGATCTCCAGGTTCATAGGTCAATGCTCAACCGCTGAGCCACGCCGGCCGGGTCCAAGCCTCTTACTTAGAAGTAACTTACAGGAGAATTGCAGAGTCCCCTATACCCTTCCCATGCTTCCCCGGGACCCACGTTTCGCATAACCACCATGCATTTCTCAAACTCAAGCCAGTAACATTGGTCTCATGCTATTAATTACGGATTTTTTTTTTTCTGATTTCACCAGTTTCCCACTAATCCAATCTTTTTGCTCCAAAATTCAATCCAGGATACCACATTGCGTTTAGTCATCCCATCTCCTCAGTCCACTCCTAACTGGGACAGTCTAGCTCTCCAGGAGCGAGGACCCCACTGTTTGGGGGGGGTGCTGGTCTCCGTGTCAGGGGTTCCGAGGAGATAGGCCATTGCTCAGAGGACACTTGGCGCCTGCCTGCTGTTGCTCAACGGGCCCTTGGTTTCCCAACACAGGAGCTGGAGACACTTGGCTGGATGTGTACAAGTTGCCCAAGGAGTCTTGGCTCAAGGAAGTGGAGCACCCCCAACTCCCTACCAATCCAAAGAAAAAAGTCAGACAGCCGCAAATGGTAGGGAGACATCTGTCTTTAACGGCTGCGTTCCTCCCTCCCCTGGTCCCACATCCAGCCAAACCCTCCTCGGAATTTCAAGATGAGCAGGGCCTTCTGGAGGCCGTCCTTCTGGAAGCCGTAAGAGAGGAGAGCGGGGACACTGGCCCATGTCTCCCAAACCCATTCGCTCTGTTCGAAATCAGATGTTAACGAGCACAGTGTCTTCCGAAGCGGGAGTCTCAGTATGTCCCGTGTCTGGGTGTCGCCTCTCCACCCGGGACTCCCAGGCATTTCTCTGGGAGGAGGGCCATTCATCCTGCCTCCTGCCTCCTGCCTCCAAGTAATTTCCCTTCCCCTTGGGGCTGAAATAACCCCCTCATGCCTCGCATCCACCTGCATCCTTACGGCTCTCCCTTCCCCATCCTCACTGTACTCACACCGATTTTCTGTCTACTTAGTCTATCAGTGATTGAAAGATGGGTGCCGGAATCTCTAAGACTGTGGATTTCTCTGTTTCTGTCACTTCTAGGAGTCTTTGCTTCGTGCACTTTGAAGTTCTCTTACTAGGTGCACAAACATTTAGAGTGCTACGTCCCCTCGATGCATTAACTATCTTTGTTCAACGGCCTTCTGATCCCTGGTCATATTTTTTGCTCTGAAATCTGGAGTGTCGGGTATTGACGGAGCCACCCCAGCTGTCCTCTGATTCGTTTTACAAGATGTTATCTATTTCTATATTTTTAATGTATTTGTGTCTCCACATCTAAATGAGTTTCTTTTTGACAGCATATACTTGGGTCTTGCCTTTTTATACACTCCGACAAGCTCTGTCTTTTACTTGGGGCATTTAGGCCATTTACATTTAATGTGGTTAGTGACATGTTTGGGTTTAAATCTACCACTTCCCTGCTGACTCTCTATCGACCCACCTGTTTTCCCTCCTTCTCTGCCGTCTTTGGAATGACCCTGTTTTGTATCCTCTGCTGTCTTATCTCCTCTGCCTTTTCCTTACAGCAGGACGTAAGCATTAATTTTAAAGGAGACGTGAAGTTGAGTCTTCCAGTTCACGTAATGAAGATCAAACCCCCCAGAGCGATCACAGGTCAGCACGATTCGACGAACACTCTCTTTCGTTGATCGCTCAATGTCTCTGTCTTTGCCTTTTCCCACATTTCCCATCTTTTCCACTTATTATCANGTGTCTCTCTGTCTTTGCCTTTTCCCACATTTCCCATCTTTTCCACTTATTATCAGCAATATCTAAACTACAAGTACAGTTCTGAGGAGGAAACGTGTTTTTAAGTCGTACACTCTGGGACCTAAGGACAAAAATGACAAATGTCAGGGATACAGTTCACTAGTAAGAGCTGGGAGGTCAGGAAAGAGACACATCTCTCCTGAGCGCCGGCTGGAGTTCACTCGTTCCCACGCTCCTGGGGTAGTTCATTCACCAGCACAGCAAGTCCTTACTCAGTGTCGCCAGCAGGCTCTGCAAACGTAAGCGGAACGGTGTGTCGCGAAGTCAGCTTGGCCCTACGCGAGTCCATATAAGCAAGAGTTAAGTTCCTACAGCACCTTGTCAGCGTTACAAGGAAACGACGCTTAATAAAACAACGTTATCTGAGGACCCGCTGTATTTGCTGAGTGCCGATAATGCACCACACACAACGATGAGTGGGGAGACTGCGAGGAAATCACCACAGCGGGATGTGGCCGGCGCAGCAATAGGAGCATCCAGGACATGAAAACCCAGAGGCAGGAGTGACCAGCTCTGCCCCGGGAAAGGCAAAGGCTTCTCAGAGGGAGGGACGTCTGGGGAGGTTGTTAAGAACCAAGGGGAGCTGGTCAGGAGGAGCGGAGGGGAGTCCACTGTGGGCAGCGGGTCCACAGTGCATCCTTTCCACACCCACACGACCTCAGAGACGGAGCTACGAGAATGCTCCCTGCAGCGTTGTTCATGGAGGCAGAAGGCGGGTTAGGTAACGTCGGGCACACACATACACAGGAACGCTTTGCAGCCATTAAAAACCAGCTGGGGGACCCAGAAGGCCAAGAAGAGCCAACTCACGCTTGTGAAAGACCCTGACGATGCGACTGGCTCCATCAATATTTATTATAAAGCTACAAATATATATATTTATGCAGATCGAGTGATCAACAGAGACAGAGCTGCAGTAATTAAGATATAACGACAGGTGGGGGGGGGGCCAGGAGCGAGGCCCGGAAAAGCCTGGGCTCCAGGACGGGTTTCAGGGCGAGGCCGGATTTCTGGGGAGGAGGGATTCTGCAGGAAGCTGGGGAGCATGGAGGGAGGAGGGGAGACTCGGGAAGGGGGAGCCCGATGGTCCGACCGATTCTGGAGTCTTTTCAACCCAGGTACCTCATTCAAGAGCCCCCTGGAAGTCTTCGCGAAGATCGAGGGCTGCTACGGGCTGGGCTCGGGGCAGAACCACTTCATCAAGGACAGTCAGTGGGAGCAGCAGGCCGCCCTCTTCAACGCCACCTACAAGAAGTACCTGGACGGGGACTGGGAGGAGGAGCCGCACAGGTGAGCCTCGCACCCGCTCCCGGGACTCCCCCCGCCCCAGGTTCTCCCAACGACCTGAATTAATCCGGGGTCTAAAAGCTCCTTCCAGGTGGGGGCATTTTTCCGGGAACCGCAGCAGGTCACAGTCCTAGGGCTGAGCCCCAACAGCGGCCAGCTGCGCCCTGGGCGGGAACCAGCAAGGCCCCGGGGTGCGCTGCCCAGCAGGCCAGCCGTCAAACCGCTGGTCCCTGCCTGTCGGGAGAGCGCTCACGGCATAAAAAGCTACAGGCCCTGTAAGTCAGGAAACTGGGGCTTTTGTTAAAAAAAAAAAAAAAAAGCCAATTTTTTCAGCACACTGCTGGCTGCACTGCCCCCAAGATGAGAGAGCATTTGTGCACATGGCCCAAGTCTGGTCGTGAAGGGTCTTCCCAAGGTCAGAGGCCGCTCTGCCCAGCACTGGGCACTGTCCCCGGCCTGGAGAGGCTCCAGCAGCTGTGCCCGCCCTGCCCTCACCGGCTCCCAGGGTCTGCACCCACCAGGCCTGGCACACAGAGTGCAATTTGCCTGGTGGCTCTGGACCCCGGGAAGGTCCATCCTGACGACCCATTTCCGGTCCTGGTACCGAGACCGCCAGCCTGGCTCCCTGCCCAGGGCTCTGAGGCGTGTCCCCTTCTCTCCCAGCCTGGCCACGTTCCACTTCCTCCTCCCCAGCTGCATCACCACGGTGCCCACAGAGGTCAAGATGCCCTCAGGTGAGTGAACACGAGGCAGGCGGCTGTCCTGGGCACCTGGCTAGCCGCCTTGGGGACACGGCTCGGCAAGCTCTCCTGCAGGCGCTCCCCACAGCGAGCCCGGCATGGGGTGGGGGGTNAGTGGGGGGTCGACAAGGTGGAAGGCGGTGCCAGCCATAGCCACGCTGCTCCCGGCTGGACCGAGGTCCCGGTGCCCTGAGAAGGGGCTGGCACTGTCTTCGGGGAGCAGCCTGCCTCAGGAGGGTGCGAGCACACAGCTCGCCAGGCCGCTCTGGATGTGAATTCNGGTGGGGGGTCGACAAGGTGGAAGGCGGTGAAGCCATAGCCGCGCTGCTCCCGGCTGGACCGAGGTCCCGGTGCCCTGAGAAGGGGCTGGCACTGTCTTCGGGGAGCAGCCTGCCTCAGGAGGGTGCGAGCACACAGCTCGCCAGGCCGCTCTGGATGTGAATTCGCTCTGTACAAGATGCTGTTTGAAATACGGACAGCCAGGTGGACACGAATGCCCTAGGGGCTGTGAGCACCGTCCCTTCCCCGGAGGGCGAGCTGGCCCCGGGACAGCCCTCCTGGGGGTGCCCAGCCCCTCCTCCCCCCGTGTGGGGTGCTGCCCATGAGAACAAACCACTTCCGATCTCAAACCTGCTTCCTCTTGGGCAAACGCTGTCCACACCCACCAAAGGCCACCCAGACTCCTGCGTGACCCCCTCTCCTCTCTCCCCCTAGGGGTGCCCTGTGTCCTCGGCGTACACTGGACGGGCCGCCACAACTTCTTCCTCTACTCACTGAACAAAACCCTGAAGGATAAACTTGGTACCTGGCTGGACCGCCGGGGCCCTCGGAAGGCAGCCCCCTCGGGGGGCGCGGGGGCGGTGCCGTGGCCCCCTTAGGGCTGCCCCTGAACTGACCTGCTGCTTAAAGACAACGCACAGGTCCCCAGGGACAAAGCCCAGTCAGGTCCCCGGGCTCCTAGGCCTTGACCTCAGGAAGCCAGAGCCGGTCCCGCCCGGCTGCCTGCGAGCTGTGTAGGCTCCGGCCGGTCGCCGGACGCCCCCCGCCCCCCACTTCTCCCCTGAAACACAGAGCTGATCACCGCACCATCCTACCTACCGCTCGCGCTGNTGCTCGCGTTGGCCGCGAACAGCAAAGCGCCAAGCTCCCGAGTGGGCGGGAAGCTCTTCACGATGGAAAGGCCCTTAGGCGGCCGACTGCTGGGTTCTCACGAACCTGCGAAGGCGGTTCCACCGGCAGGTTCCCTTGGGGATAACTCCTTGGGCGCCAGGCTTACGTTGCAGCTTAGAGCCAAGTCCCAGAGTAACCCCTACGCAACCACAAAGGCAGGGTCCCTCCTTGCAAGGCAGCCGGGCTCCCAGTCTGGCCTCGGGTCCTGCCTGCCCGCGCGAGCCTGGGCAAAGCGGTCCCTTCTCCGCCTCAGCCTCCTCGCCTGTACAATGGGCCCGCCTCACAGGAGCCTTGTGGGAGTTAAAGCGAAGGAGCGCGAAGTGCTTCCCGCAGCGTCAGCACGCCAGCAGGCGCGAGGCCTGTCCTGTCACCCAGGGGAAGGAGATGGCGCCCCACGGGCAGGGAGAGGGGGCGAGTCAGACAGGGGCTCTGCCCACGCCCCAGGCGGGCACCCGTCTGGGTCTCAGCTTGAGCCAGTGGAGGCCATGGCGGGTGTGGGGTCCCGGGGGGTGGGGGGTGCAGCCCGGTGAGCGCGTTCTCCCCGCTAGACCCCGAGGGCGTGTGGCCCTGTGCGGCGCCCATTGCTGTGTCTCAGCTCAGCGACTGCGGCTCCTACCTGGTGCTGGCCTGCGAGGACGGGGTGCTCACGCTGTGGGACCTGGCTGAAGGTGAGCCCCGGCCCTGCCCAGCACCGGGGTGCATCTCCGGGTACCGAGACTCGGGGGGGGGGGCTCCGAGCTCCCGCAGGCTCTGGGCCTCCTGTCAGCACCTCTGCTCTGAAGGGCCCCTCGGGGGGCTGGCCCTGCTCTCCCCTCACTCATCCACTCCACAGACATTCGTATGGGTTCCCCCGAGGCCCTGTGGTCAGTGGCGAGCCCTCCTCACCTGGGCTGTTTACGTCTGAGGGACTCGGGGGTGGTTTCAAGCAGGGAGACGCTCTCCCCGCGGTGCTGAAGGCCCCCCTGAATTTTACTGACGGCACCCACGGCGGCAGCATCCTAGCGAGAGCCATTTCGAGGGCAGGGGAGTGGTCACAACCTCACCCCCCTTCCCGATAGCTTGCTTCCCTTTCTGGATACTGATAAATTCTTGGCTCGCGCCCCCCAAGGGGCTCGGTTCTACCCAGCCAGCTCCCCCCCACTTAGAGGGAGTCCCTGGAGGAGCGCCCCGCTCACCGCGTGACTGTCATCACGTCCGCCCCTCAGGTCCTTGCTGGCCGCGGTCCCCCCCCTCCTGACCTGCACGCGCGGCTCCCCCCTCCAGGGTTCCCCCTTGGGGTCGTCGATCTGCCTGAGGGGTGCTCCTGCCAAAGCATCCACTTCCTGAAATACTTCCTGGTCCACGAGGGGCGCAACGTGTACCCCGAGGGCCCGGTGAAATCCCAGATGGCGTGCGCGGTGCTGTGCACGGACGCGTCCCTCCACCTGGTGACGGCCAGGGGAGCCCAGGGACCTGCTGTCAGCGTGCTTGTGGAGAGGTCGGTGGCTCGAGGGTGAGACAGGAAAGCCGGTCCGCCGGCGACGGTGGCGAAAGGCTTCGTCCCCGGGGAGGGTGGGATTACTTGCGCACCCTCCCACCCGCAGACGGGTGCGCTGCTCCCAGGGTCTGCTGCTGCGGACAGTCCTCGGCATATCTCCTGACGCTTAGGTACAAGGCCTTACCCAGGACGTACGCCCCGGGAGGGGAGCAGAGCCGCAAAACCACGAGGATGAGCGTCCGTGTGTCCCGTCTCCCACAGGCCCGTCAAGCACCCAGAAGAGGCTGTGTGCGCGGTGGCCCCCGTCCCCACCTTACCCGGCACCGTAGGTCCCCCGGCCCTCCCCTCCCTCCCCCTCAGCGACCGTTCACGCCTCCTGCAAACATCTGCTCAGGGCCTGTCGTGGCCCATGTGCTAGACTGGCCCCGGGGTCCGCAGATAGAAAGACAAAGCCCCTGCCCTCGAGGAGCCCGCAGTTGGGTGGAGAAGGCGCCGCCCTGAGCGGGCTGGGGGCCGCGTGCCCGAGAGCACCCGAGCGCTCCCCGTTTTCCGGTCCCTTCCCTGCTCGGGGCTCCTCACCGGGAGAGGGCTGGCAGGGACGTGCCCGTGGGTCCCCCCTCTGCTCCCAGGTGCTGACCTTCTCCAGGGCGGGAGCCGTGCACCTGCTGGACGTGACCCATCTTCACATTGTCTGCGCCTTTGAGCTCCCCAGGCCCTACCGCCTGGCGGAGCCCAGGAGGCCCCTGTTTGTCGCGTCTCGGCACCACCCCTACCTCCTGCTCAGAGGTACAGATGGACCAGGACCATGAGGGCACGGGATCGGAGTGCGAGGGGAGGGTTTCAACGCCTGAAGCGCCTCGCCCTCAAACCAGCCCCGCTGTTCCTCTCCCGGGTCAGGCCCAGGCACGGGCCGGAGAGACCCCGGCTGTCCCCTGCTGTTTCCCNGGGACCATGAGGGCACGGGATCGGAGTGCGAGGGGAGGGTTTCAACGCCCGAAGCGCCTCGCCCTCAAACCAGCCCCGCTGTTCCTCTCCCGGGCCAGGCCCAGGCACGGGCCGGAGAGACCCCGGCTGTCCCCTGCTGTTTCCCTCCCTTCCTCAGTCCCCACCCAACGGCTCCCCACTCTCGGTCCCGGGCCACCGCAGCCCCCAAAGCCCCCATGAGACGCTCAGGTGAGAGCCAGGCAGGTCTCCTGTTCCTCCAGGCCCCGGGAGCCCCTCCCGGCTCAGCCCCGACGACCCGGACTTGACAAGCAGAGAGTGGACCCCGGGCCCGCGGGGGCCGGAGGCCACAGGGAAAGTAACACGTCCACGGGCGCATGCCCTTGTCTTGCCTCAGGAGACCGTCCAGACAGGGCCAGCGACGCCCAAAGCTCCGTCTTCTACTTTCATTTCGAGTCCTACCCGCTCCTGGAGCGCATCTCCAGAAGCTGCAAGATCTCCCAGGCCGACCTGGACGCCGCGTGCTTCCCGCAGGCCCTGCCCTTGGAGAAAAGATGCGAGAACTTCCTCCGGAAGAGGTAGGGCCCGGGGTCTCTCCGGCCCGTGCCTGGGCCTGGCCCGGGAGAGGAACAGCGGGGCTGGTTTGAGGGCGAGGCGCTTCGGGCGTTGAAACCCTCCCCTCGCACTCCGATCCCGTTCCGGTGGGCAGGAAAGGAGGGCTGGGTTCAGGCTGATGGGTAAGCGGGGGGCCCAGTCTGCGCTTTTGGGTCGTTAGGCGCAATCGGGGCCAGAGAGCCAGGGCCTGGGGGCCAAATTCAGCCCACAGCCGTCTGGGTGAGTGAAGGAAGCTTCCCGGGGACACGCAGTCGGGCCGCCCCATCCACACGGCGCCTCTGGCTGCTCGTGAACAGTCAGAGCAGAGACCACAGGACCCAGAGAGCCCAGGGTCCAAGACGCCTTCCCTTTGCCCACCATCTGGACGCCACCCTGGGTGCCGGGCGTTCTGCCTCCTCCTGCCCCTTCTCGCGCCCCGGACCTGGGTCCTCGGCGGGCGCAGCATCCCCAGCTGGCAGGAACCGTCACTGGGACCTAATCATGGCCCCTGTGTCGGCCCATCTCCTGAACTGGTCCCTGTGACGAGCTGGGAAACACCGCGACCTAACGACGACTTTCCTGCCCTGCGTGCTCTGGGTTACCTGGGGCTCTCCCACCCCGCTTTATTACGAACACTTTCAAACACACAGCAGCTTTGAGAAGAATTTCGGTGAACACCCCACCTACTGACAGCCCGGGCCCGTCCCTAGCGTTTCACTCTCGCTGTTAACCACACGTATCCCTGCGCATCCGAGGGAGTTTAATCCTGCCTTATTTTTTTCTATTTATAGCTTGTGTCTGAAAGTTTCCACGGGCCCCTAAAACTAGGCCAAACTTTAAGTCAATGGGCTCATGTGGCAATCGAGTCGGAGTTTCAGACCTGCAACAGTCTGCCCAAACTGTTGTTACGAAATGTGCCCCCGGGGCCTTTCGTCAACGGCAGCGCAGAACGGAGCCCGCCTCGGGGCTCTGAAAGGAGGCCAGTCCGTGCCCCGTGTGCCAACAGCCTCCCGCCGCGCCCCCAGCCCTGGCCTCCGGGGCACCGTTTCCCTCTGGTCCCACTCCCTGTCTGTTCTAGTGTCTGCCACCTCCGGCCAGGTCAGACTTTTGACCACGAGAGAGAAATCTGGGGACACCAGGAAGCAGACGGAAACAGAGTCTGTCTGTCTCTCCCCCTTTATTGCCTGTGGAACGCAGGCCGGGCATGGCCCAGGTTCTACCCACCCAGCTTTCTGCCATAAGTGGGCTTCTGGGGTGACCCAACAGACCCAGGGCCCACAGGCACACGGCTTCTTTGGTGGGGGGCAGGGCAGGCCCTGTGTGGACACCGGGTGACACTGAGGTGGGAGGAGGGGGTCAGGGATGGTGTTCGCACCCCCTTTATTCCTACCCTTGGGGAGGAAAGGGTGGGCCCAGCCCAACTTTCCTTTGCCGTCCTCGAGAAACAGAGGGACAACTCCCTGGAAAATGACCTATAGACGCACAGACCCCAAACGTGCCGACAGGCTCCTCGAAGTCGAGGGTTTTGCAAGGGACTGCAGGTGCCCCACGCACTCGAGATGCACAGGAACATGCACTTATTTACTATTAAAAGAAAACGCACAAAGACCCACCCTCTTATTTGCTTGAAAGACCAACTCAAACCCTTCATCTCCTGGGAGCGCTGCCCAGCGGGCCGGTCTCCTCCTCCCCTCGGTGGCGCGCAGATGCCTCCTGCCCCAAGTGCTCTTTCACTCTGTCACCCTCACTCCCTGGGGACAGGGATGGGCCACTGTGGCCACTGTGGCCTCCCCAGCACTTGCACCAGTGTCTGTCACTGGCAGATGCTCAAGAAACGCTTACGAAACGGCACATTGGCATCCGGACGTGTCTAACACTGGCCCGTGGGCACAGACTCCAGGTCCCGAGTTCGCTGTGCCCTCTGTCACTGTCCACCTTGTGGTCTGGAAGCCCCCCCTTGTCCACTTAGTACAGGTGTTTCCGGTGCCCGAGTCCCGAGGGCACAGAGACGACAGACGTGTGTCCTTGACAGAGTTCCTGATTTTTTTTTTCTAAATATATTGATTTCAGAGAGAGGAAGGGAGAGGGAGAGAGAGAGAAACATCCATGATGAGAGTCATCGATGGGCTGCCTCCTGCACGTCCCCTGCTGGGGATCGAGCCCACAACCTGGGCCTGGGCCCTGATCGGGAATCGAACTGCGATCTCCTGGATCCCAGGTCAAGGCTCGGCTGCTGAGCCACGCCCCGCCGGGCCAGAGTTCCTAATTTTAGCACAGGGTGCTCACGGTCCACCGAGGGGACCTGGGGGCTGGGGGCAAGGCACAAAGTGGGTCCTTCTCATCTCCAGCCGTGTGGCTTCTGGTCTCCAGGTTTCAGAAGCTGGAGAACAAGGTGAAGGAGCAGGAGCACTGGACCCGGCTGCGGAGGTACTCCCTGCTTCTCCAGAAAGAGGCCATCAAGAAGTGACCGCCACCGCCCGGGCTCCCTGGAGAGGTGTCGCGGCAGGCAGGCCCGCTTCCCCGGGAGGCCCCGAGGTGAAGGACACGGCGGCAAAGGGCTGCGGCTCAGTCCGAGGGGCCTGAACTCGCAGTGTGTGGCCTCCAGAGCCAGAACCGGGAGAGGGACTATTTTGGGGGGTTCAATCACTATGCTGCTTGTCAGAGCCCTCAGGAGGACAGATTTGTCACCCAAATAAACGGAGAGATTGTTTCCAGACTCCAGAGTGGCTGTGGGGTGTTCCCACCCTGTCCCCACCGGGCAGGGCGCAGGCCTCGTGAAGACCACCCACCTGCGGGGCCCAGGACAGCCACGTGGCTCAGATGAGCAAGACACCCAGCCGGCCCCGGCTACCGGGAGGCCCCCCCCTTCTTTTCCCTGCTCGCTTTGGAGATACGGAGGCTGGGCTCAGAGTGGCTGAGTGGCTGCCGGAGGTCACACAGCTGTGAGGGGCAAAGGTGCCGGGCGAGGGGGGTCCGCGCAGCTCCAGGGCGTCGCCGCCTCTCTGAGGACACCGCGTGGTGCCTGTGAGAACTGCGGGGGGCTCCGAGTCCCAGGCCCCAGGATGAACTGCCCCCCGCAGGCTGCATGCCGGGTCGCAGGGTCGGTGACGCCCGTTCTTCTGTGTCCCCACCCACCTCCTCCCCGGGTCACACACTTGCTCCTGGCTGGCGGGACAAGGCGCTGGTACTGACTAGCTGAGCGTCCCCTGATGAAGGGGTCCCCAGCCCAGATGCTCCCCTTCCTCTGCCTCCCCCACCAGGTCCACAGTGTGAGGCCGGCGTGTCCTTGAGTACGATCGACGGGCTTAGCTGCCCCTCCTCAGAACACCGGCCCACACGCAGTCGGCGCACAGCAGCACAGTTCCTGCCCCTGTGCACGAGAAGCTCTACTTTACACCAGAGACGCACGCACACCTGCCTGCGGGGGCCGTCCCAAAGACCGGATTTGTCACCTACCACCCACACGTGTCCCCACCCCAAAAGCCATGTACTAGTCTCGTGAAAGATCCCCCCACCTTCCACGTCCTGATCTACGCAATAGCACATGCCCACCTGCCTTACCCTGGCGCCGAGGCTAAAAGGACTGGAAATCAGACGGCGGATCTAATGTCCAACACACAGAGCCTGGCCCTGGAAATGTCTAGAAATGTCTGCTTCTCCCTCACTGGAGTTCGAACCCATCAGGCTGTGCAAGCGCTGTGACCGGTGGTGACCAGAGACAGCAGGCCAGCCCACCCAGCCCGGCCGGCCCGGCGGGCACCCGTCCTGATGCGGTCACTCTCACTCCCACCTTCCATACCCCGCTCTGGCCCAGGGCACGCTGCCAGGGCCCCAGGTGAGGGGAGACACCCGCCAGCCAGCACCCTCCGTCCTTGAGACAGGCTGGTGCTCGGCTGTTACCGAGGCAACGCGCCCGGACGCACCCAGGCTCTGGAGTCACATCTGGGGCCCAATCCCAAGGCTGCCGCGGAACACCTGTAAGGGCACCGTGCCAGCTACCCTCTTCCTGGCTGTACCCTGCCATCCTTGCCAGGGCCCCCTTAGCTGGGGCTCACCTCCCAGGTTAGCTGAGCAAGGAGAGCGGTGAGGATGGCCCGCCTACCTGGATGCTGGGGGCTGTCCCGTCCCTCTGAACCAGTATGCGGTGTGGCTGGCCCAGGAAGGGGTGGGGACGGCAAGCGGTGGGAGGTGGCCCTTCTCATCTCTAGTCCTCCGACTCGTTAGCAGAGACCTGTTAATGAAAATCACACCTGGGTGCTAATAAAGGGAGGGAGGCCCCCAGTTCTGAGAGGTGGGAGAGGCCCTCCCGGGGCAGGGGTTGGCCAACAAGCCCCACTTATCTGTGAAAAGACTTGCTAATAACTTTAATTCCCCCCTCTACACCCTGGGGCCTTTGCCATGCAAATAGATTTTCTAAACAGGGTTGGGTTCTTGGAGGAAAAAAAGTCCCCCCTACCCAGCTTAGGGTCCTAGGAGGGAAGAGTGGCCCGGGTGTGGGGGTGCGGGGAAAGGGGGGTGATCAGTGAGGGTGCGAGGCCCCCTGCTGCAGGGCCTCTGCTTGGCCGCCGCGCTCTCTGAAGCCTCCCGACTGCCCCCCGGCCTCGGGAGGGGACGGCGGGGGCTTCGCGTCCACCACGCAAAGGAAGAGAAACTGCCCCGGCCGCCAGCAGTTTATTCCCTCCTGCCCACGGCCGTCGCGGGGGTCCTGGGGACGCGCTCCCCCCGCCCGCGGCCGGGAGGGGGCGTC